AGGGTCGATCAGCCGTGGTTCTTTGCATCTAATACACAGCAAGTGAATGCGCCCAATTTAGTGAAGACATTTGTCCTGAGGCAACTGACATTGATTCTCCACTTACTGTCTTTTAATTGTGATGTATCCAATTTATCTTTTTAGGCTATAAACTCTTAGGGGAAAAGGTTCTCCTTTTTCATTCTGTATGCTGTTCTCACTCCAGCTTTATTTTACTGCAAAAGAGCCACGTTCAGGTTAAATCATTTTCACACTAGCAAGATAACACTTTCCTATTGCTAGAATTAATTGCTGTAACTTGTATTGTTTTTCTATAACAATGTCTGATGTAAAGATGAATTAGTGGTGACAACATTATGAAGAAACGAAGAGTAACAAGTAGAGACATGTTCCAGATGATGTAAAAACATTCTTTTCTACTGAGAAAACTGTTTGCTCATCCATACCACGGTAATGCATATTCTTTAGTAGTATAAACTATTGTGCATAAGCAACACTGCTTTCAGGATGCCACTAGTCCAGAAGAAAAGCCAGCCAGGATGTTCCTTTTTTCCAGAATTGCAGGTGCTCCGTTTTACTGCCACTACCCCCAGGCCTATCCACTGCCCCAAATTCACATTTACACTCCTGCCATGTATGAATTGGCCAAAGTGCACAGCCCTTCATTTCCAGATATTCAAGCTTGACGATTCACAGGCAATAAAACGTGACAGGACTTTTCACTGACAAAGGAACTACAGGGCATCCTAATCAGCAGGCGAGGCAGCTCTAATAACTGGGTTACAGCGTAAGGAGATAAACTCAAATGGAGCAGAACATTCATAATACAAGAAACACGAGATGCTACTCAGCCTAAAGCACCATCGGTGCTATACAAAGACATCCAACTAACACAGCAACTTTTTTTCCCCTTTGGAAGAAGGATTCCTTTTAACTGCCAGTTAAAGACAGTCTCAGCAGTGTGTGAATGGCAACCGCTTACAGCCCCCAGCATGACTACTTCCAGCTTCTTTTGCCTTTTCAATTGCAGCAAACCACAGTCAGACAGACAATGAAGGGGGTTTTTATTGTTGTTTTTTTTAAATTGTGACGTTAGGATACTGCTGGTTATGGGTGTTTGCAGGTCTTGTTGACAGACAGGACGGGACACACACCAAGCAGCCAATATGCCAGCTGCTGCCCCCACCACAGGAGGTGCCACGTGCCCGGAGGCTTGGACAGAATCTGCTTGGGTGGCTCTAGTATCAGCTGCAGATGAGTCTGTGCTAGCAGTGAAAACACTGTCCCCAGAAGGTCACCTGTCCCCAAAGGACACCTGCTCCTGATCTTTTTCCCAAGCTGTGCCAAAAGAAAAGGTTTGCTTGTGTCAAATACACAAAGCCTCGTTCCCTCTGTCCCCCTACTGACAGCCTAAGCTTCAGGGTGAATTTGTGACACCATCACGACAATGGCAAAATTCCCTTTGGTTCAAGGCAACCAGCTTTTCAAAAAACTTCAGCCCCTATACCCACAGCAGGATCCCTATTGAGATTTTCTCCCTGCAAAGCTATTATTTCTAACACACTAAGGTCCCACAGCCACTGCTAAAACTCCTACTGACTGCAAAAGAGGGTAAACTTCCAAGCACAGACCACAGGATTCCCTCTTCCAGCAGAAAGGACATGCAAGAACCTGCCTCAGGATCTGAAGAAGGTTCCCTCTGAGCAGAGCCCCTCTCTGCACCCAGGCCACAGTGGTCGGAAGACTGTGGCGAAAGCTGGTACTGTAAGAAATGGCATGCCTGGGACCCTGGGGCAGTGCTCTGAATCACTGGAGCAATGAAAACAACTGAGGAGTTTGATGCATCCAATTTGATCACGGAGGGCCCTGTGTGTCAAGTCTCTCTAGGGTAAGAAGTCTCAGGGCCCTCAGATGAGCTATAGGCATGGCGCTAGACTGTCATGGCCCTTAACTGATCGCACAGAGGAATAGAAGAAAATAAAACAATCTCTCTTCTCTGCTCAGCCATGCTCAGATTGTGATTCAAGACACAGGAAAAAAAGATGGGGCTGCCCACTCAGTATACTTCTCTGTGAAGCAGCTGCAAAGGGATGGGGAGGGACCCAGCAACACGGATAAGGAAAGCTGTGCATTTACTCTCTGGCTGATGATGGATGCACATAGCAAAGTACAAACCAGAGTATCTGCTGCTTCTTTTGGACAAGAATTTTCTGATCATTGTTCCAAGCCATTACTTAGAAAAAATATGTTTTAAATAGATATAGCAGTTTATTTTGGGATTTCTTTAACACTTTCTCACTCCCTCCTTCCACTAAAAAAAAAAAACAAACACAAAAACAAACAGCAAACCAAGTCTGGAATTCACCATTAGTGAAATCACAATCAAAAGGTGAGTGCCTATGTGTGTTTTCAGTTCTAAGGATAATGTCTGCACTTTGCATGGCATTACCCGTGCCCCAGCAGCAGCCAGTGCAGAGGCACACAAGAACCTGGGAAAAGGCTAGGGCTCAGAAAATCCCTCGTTATCCCCTTCCCCATCTGTGCAGTGAGGGTAACACCACTTTCCAATGGCACAGGATGCTGTGAAACATTCAACAACTTTAGGAAAGGTTGGACATGTACTGCAGAGAGGCAGATAGAGAAAGCCATCTGATGGCTTCAGCTGGGACTGGAGTTTGGAGGATCGTACTTAGCTGAAAGCCTTCACGTAGGCAAGAACCAGCCCATTATTTTTCTCTAAACTCTAAAGGAATTTTCCAGTCTTTACCATTTTTTTCCTCTTGCACTCAATACAGGGGGGTCCATCCAGATTCATATTGCATAACCTTTCTTGCTATTCCTTTGCTTTTGTTGTCTTCACTGCTTAGTATTTGCCTTACAATGCACCAAATATGTACGTGACACAGCAAACAATGAAGAGAAGAAAACGGAGAAACCAATGCTGCACCTACAACACTGCTGGCCTCTCTGGTCTACAAAAGAAACTGGCAAAACCACACAGACTTACTCTAACCCAGAAAGGCAAGAAAAATTAGATGATGTGAAGAGAACACTATTTCCAAGGACACTGGTTTGGCCCTCAAACTGAAAACTGTTATCTAATACCACTTTTTATTATATTTTAATTTTCAGCCATGTACAGTATACTCAGCTAAAGGTCATAATAGGTGTTCTTTTTCTCATCTGATCTCTACGAAGACCATGAATACTGCATGAAGAGGACTTTCAGCTGAGCAGGACTCATGTTTAAAAGAAATTGAACAGCTGCTTAAGGCACTTTATTTCCCCATATATATATATATATATAAAGGCCTCAACTGAAGAACTTGGAGATTACGTATTTGCATATTACAAAGGCACAGGTCCTCATACATTCTTCTATTAACTCAAAACATACTGCTGATACTTAATAATGATAAAGTAACCCTTCCACACTAGACCTGAAAAATTTGCTTAATTGGTTCAAACTCAGGTCTAAGACATGGATGTAAATAATGAAAAAAAAATTATTCTAATCTCTCAGCCTACTGGTATTTATTGCCTTGGTTGGCTGGCTTACCTTTCAGAGAAGACTGGGACTAAACCAGTGACATAGATTGTCCCCCGAAATTGGTAACCAGGAAATGAACGGCAAGTCCTGAGTCAACAAGACACCACTCACTACAGGCTAAGAAGAACTTTTCAGCATCTTCATTTTGTAATGAAGATATCCAAGGCCACACCACAATGTTCCTCTGAAGACAGCTGAAGGAAGCTCTCCAGGCTTCCAAACCTGCAAATCTCTTCACCATGAGCATGTGAGAAAGGCCTATCAAGACACGAATCCCTTTTTTTCCTGAAAGACACACCATCAGCCCTTACCCAGCATCCAGTTTGCAGCTATTGTGTGCATCAAAACAAGGCAAAGAAAAACCACCAGAAGTCTCTACATGTGTTAAGGGTGAAAATATAATCCTTCCTGGCCCTGGTGCAACCAGACACAATTAACACACAGCATGTGAGACTTTTCAGTGTTTCTAGAAGTATCAACTTGGGACTGTTTTTAAAAACAAAACAAAACACAAAAACAAGAAAAACACCAAAATCCCATCACCCCCCCCCGAAATTTCAAAATTAAAGCTTCAGTGATATCCCCTGAAACCTACAAACACCCACAAGTAAGAGAGACCTTTCCTGAACCCATCTTCCAGATGAAACAACATCTGAGCTAGTCTTTTTCTAATGCTGGTTGGACTAAACCTCCTCAGCTCATGCAGACCTCTGCCAAGATGAGCCTGGCAGGCAATGAAACTGTCAGCAAGGCCAGACAAGCTCTGGAGATCAGCAAGTCTCCCTGCAGGCTTCTACAAAAGTATTTCACTCTCAGGGTGACCAAATTTTTCCAAAACCATGCAAGATATATAGCTTTTTAGAGCCATTTGAGCCACAGAGCTTGCTAAGCTCTAGCAAATCAAAATTGCTGTCAACGAAGCCTCAATCTGTCAAACACGATCCTTAGTACTTTGATGGATCAGGACCTGAACGCCCACTTCTTACCACTGATGGGAGCATGTCACAGCATTCCCAGAACTCAGAGGCACTGCCATAAAAATGTTCATGCCTTGATTTTGAAAAAAACCACGTTAAAATAGGAAAGTCTTGTTCCTTTTCTAGACATTTATTGTCTTTACAGCCCAAGAATCCCCAAATATCACCCAAGTCTTGCAACACCCAAGCAGAGAGAAGGTAACTTTACAGAATGGGATACAGCTAGGACATGGGACTTGCCCCAGATCAGAGAAGTTATTTGTGACAGATTGAAAGCTGAATCTACATTCCCTTGGCATACAGACCCACATCTTAACTGAAAGACCACCCATTTCTCTACCACAGTGCACTGAAGAGCAAATATTATGTTCAGTTTTCATATAAAAGTATATAAAGCTGGCAGGGAAAGCAGGGCATAGCACAGTGACAGCAGGGAACAAATATGTAAAAAATAAGAGGCCAGCATAACTTACGGGAGCTGCGTTGTTTTTCACTGTGACACTCGGAGTTGTGGCTCGTAGTGCCCCACTCACGCCATGGTAGTATTTGAAGCAGATCTTTGTTTCAGCTAAAAAAAGAGAATTATTTTAGGTTAGAAGAACTGCCAAGGAGAAGCTGCACGATTGGTTGCAGCTCACAGGCACAAGGCTGGCAAGCAGTTAAATTGTGAGTGGTTTGTCCCAGGTTGGTTGGCACAACAGGATATGTTCTGCCTCCAGATCGATCTTCAGAGTGAAATTTAGAGTTCGGTTCCTATGACTAAGAAGAGTTAAAACCCCAACATCTTCTGAGCAGCAGTTATGACAGACCTTAGAGTACCTGATCAGCATCCTTCAGCTACGTTAGGAAGAAGAAAAGTAGGGACAGAGAAACCCTCCCTGTTCAGACATACCAAACACTAATGTGCAAAGTGAGAAACTTCCTTAGGACAACGAGATTGCGTAGTTGCTCACTGACAGGTTTCACTGAGCCAATTTGTTCTGGCCTTGGTCAGGGCAAGGCTGTAGATCTACACAGATTAACTGCTCTGACAGTTACTACATTAAAGCATTTTTCAGAAACAGCATAGTACCACGAGACCCCATCTTAGTGTATTTCCACTGACTTCCAAAGATCTGGATTAGGTGAGGAACACAAGCAAGACCATGATTTTGCACTCACAGCGCTGCTTTTTGCCACATGCATTGATATTATGATAAATACATTAAGTGAGGGAAACCCTTTTCGATAACTGTATCAAGGCATAGAAGTGAAATCAGCTTCTTGTTCAATCATCCCCTTACAACCCACCTTATTGTCTGCTGCAAGAAGGAAAGATACTTTCAGCCAGCTTCTCTGGTGGTTTGTAACTACAAGCAGATACAAATTGCTAGTATGTGCCATAATCCCACTCACTCGCCTGGACCTGGTGGACTTGCTGGGGCACATCCTATAGGCAGGAGTTTTCTTCCATAGTAAACTAGGATGTGAACTGGGTTGATACGTGCCTACACAGCAGGTATGCACTGTATGTAACAGGTATGTTTGTGGGATCTGAAAAATGCTTATTTAAATAAAAGCAGCATTCACATCTTGCAGTTTGAACTGGGTAACACCATGGAAATTTTCAGCTGCTCCATAATACACTTGAAAGTACTACTCATAATCAAGTTTTTCCTTAACACCTTGCTTTGCAGCTGCTGCTGAGGCCCAGAGAAAATGCCAACCTTTACCTGCAGAGCCACAATTCCGCTCACTGTAACTACAGTGCCTATGTAAGAAAATAATAAAGGAATGCCAGTGTTTTAACATACAAATTGCATTGCTGTTTTAACACCAGTAACAAATGAAATCAGTGCAGCTGCGACAAGATTATGCAACATCAAGAGCTGGGACCTTGGCCACAGATTATGGTGCTGTGATCTGCCTTTTGGTAGATCCAAAAAAACAACGATGCAGCGCCCCAGCTGGAAGCAAAACCTGGGGACATGAAAAGCAGTGGAGACCCTCAAAAACGCAGGCCTGAACTGCTTATGCTGACACCTACAGATACACAGGAACACAGGAGGAAAAATAAATCCCAATTTGTTTTTTGAAAGACAAAATAGCTTTAGGAGTATAAAGCCTTCCCAACTTTCAAATGTGACTTGGGAAATGAAAACCGAAGAGCTTATGTTCTCAAGTAGTTCAAGCACTTCTCATTTCCAGGTGGCTTCTCAGCACTCCTCCCTGAGGAGGCACCAGGCACATGCAGTCCATCGACGAGAAGCACAGTGCCAGCACAGTTAATCTGCCACCGTATTTTCCATCCCCACAGCTCGTTCTTCATCAGGCAACCACGTGTACATTTCTGCTCACATGGTGAAAATACAAGCCCCTCCAACTATATGCACAGACACATACACGTCCCTTTTACTTCACAGCACTCCACAAGAAGTGGAACAGGCTACAGAGTCCTTCAGCACCTCCATGAGGGGCTTTGTTGCCCATCCTGGGGTATAATACTCAACTATGCCCCAAACAACCTTCTGCATATTCAAGAAAATTACTTGAGGTGTCAGTGCAGCTAAGCAAGCGACCCCGTTGTTGCACCTGGGAGCAGCAGTTGTTTCTTTTGGCAGCAAAAAAGCTGGATGAGCCTGTGGGACTGAAAAACCGCAAGTCCAGATTGAATTTTCACACTGTAATTTTCTCTACAGGACTTTTAACAGCTCAGCAGCTAACTCATTTACTCACTGAGAAGACAGCAAAAGCTGAGGCTATCACAACAGCTAAAACATGCAGTTCTCACCAATTATTCAAATCTTAATTTTCTTCTCCCCTGGAGATTTTTAGCTACAGTTTGCATGGAACATTAAGAGCTAAAGAGAAGCTTTTTCTTTTTTTTTTTTTATTAACTCATGTAGTTAAACTGTAACTTCGGGTACTAGCCTATATAACAATGTTCAGACTTCACAGCGGAAATGTCGGCCGTAGGTTGACAAGTAGCAAATCAGTTACCACATACATTGGGAAACTATGGTTTAAAAGAATCTATTTAATTAAACAAAAAGTATTAGACAGAGAACAGAAGGAGGAAAGAATATATTCTTCTGTAGGTATTCTGGATATTAGTATTGCTTTCAAGGACAAATTAAACTATAACTTCGGGTACTAGCCTATATAACAATGTTCAGACTTCACAGCAGGAAATGTTGCCGTAGGTTGACAAGTAGCAAATCAGTTACCACATACATTGGGAAACTATGGTTTAAAAGAATCTATTTAATTAAACAAAAAGTATTAGACAGAGAACAGAAGGAGGAAAGAATATATTCTTCTGTAGGTATTCTGGATATTAGTATTGCTTTCAAGGACAAAGGATTACTAAGATGATTGAATATGTATTTGGAAAGAACCATGTGGGTATTGAAGATTCCTCTCAGTTTCACACAACTACTATTACTAACTTAATTTTCAATCAAACTGCCCACATACAGATGCAAACTGGCAAGAAGGCAACCCAGAGAGATGCAGGTGTCACACCCAATTCAGAAGAGTGGCAGAGGTGGAGCCATTCATCAGGCAGTATTTGAGGCAGTGATTAATGAATGTCAAAGGTTTCATTCAGAGAGCAGATCTGATAGTAAAAAGTCTTATGGGGACCTTCACAGCTTGAGAAATTGCTCTTGAAACATCAGGGGAAGAACATTTTTTTCCTTGATTTCCCCCCTCCCCCCTTTTTCCCCAGATCTTTTTCAGATTGAAAATATTAGCAAATGGCTATTATCAATGGATAGATAAAACTTTAACAAGTATAAAGCTTGCAAAATTACATACGGTATCTTTATGTGCAAAAATGCCACTTAGACCCTAGTTGGACTTTTTTTGGCTGGGAGACATTCTTTCCAAATAACATTGTTGGTGCCGTGCTTTTCACTTCAAAAGTCCTAACATTTTAATCTGTCTGAAGATTGTTCTTGTATTCCTGAATCACCTGTGGGACATTTCCAAAACAGATGCAGACATTCACTGGCTTGGTATCACTGCCTCTGCAGATGAACAGAAAGCACTGTAAGTATAGGCAAGGCAGTGATATAAATTAACCTGAATATTATCCAGCTGGCATTCGTACATAATATGTAGTTATAAGGGCTGTTTGCATTGTAGCCTTGTAGATTAGCTTGTTGTGAAATAAAGGAGACCATTTAACTCTGTCCTGCTGCCCTAGCTACATGGCACAGTGCACAGGTCAGGAGCAGGTGTTGTCCAGTTAATCCCCAGTTATAAATAAATACATGCCATTGTTATTTTCATCTCGGCAATTATGAGTAGCAGCTCACTGGATCAGGTAATGAAGTTATGATGTTAAAGTCAGGAAGTAATGAGGTTAAATTCTCCTGTCAATTAGCATAAATGGCAGTTAGACTGGTCAATCTTCCAAGAGATGAGATGTCTAAAGATCCTCAGAAATACTCGTGCCCATGACAATTACCAAACTATTCAGCAATTTTCACGGATCAAGAACAAAACAGCATTGTATTCCCTTTACACCAGGCTTGGTAACTCCATTATACCACAGCTGTGTTACAGCCTTCCACTGCACTGATATAAATAAGACAGTTCCCAGCTGTATGCTCAGACCCACTGCTGTAACCATCACAGGTGCAGAAAATACAGCTGCACAAAAGCAAGGCCCCCAAGGCAGGCTAATCAGAGCCAGGCAACAGGAGAGGCAATTCTGTTTTGCTCCTTGCACCACAGCCCGCAAGCACCTCTGCAGGCCACATAGGATGCTCACAGGGAAGGGAGAGGAGCCGGGATGTAGCCCATCCCCAGGCACCACAGAGACCACTCGTCGTTCAGAGGAAAACTCTGAGAAAGTCTGAGTTTTGCCAGAGAACAACTCTGCCATGGAGCTTCATCCCTCTCACAAGAAAAAAAAAATTCAGTCCACAGAAAATCAAAGCCCTGAGTTATCTCAATTACCAAATCAGTTTTGCAACTTAACTGGAAAATGAATTTACCAGCTGAACATTACTCTTCTTGGCAATATTCTATACTGCCTCCGCAATCACCCAGCCTTTGAAAACACCCTACCTCCTTACTAAACTGAAGTGAGAGGAGATAAAATCTAGTAGGGTCTCCTGATGAATTGCAGCTGGAGGTATTGAAGGTTGAAAGCCTCTAAGAGGTGTCCTAGTTTCCATCATCCACCCGTTCTTCTTTCCTGTCAGTGTTATTGCTCCTGTTGGTTTATTTGATACCCTTTTCCTTTAAAATACTTTCATTCCTACTCATCATTCTCATTCCTTCAGAGTTGTCAAAATTGCCCTAAATCTCTTCCCAAAAGTTCACTTGCTCTTATAATCCTCTGCTCCTCACTTACGAAGGCTAGTCTGGTCTCAGAGGCTTAGCTTTCACTAAAAGGTGGATTTATTCCCTCAAATATAAAAAGAAGCACTGCCAGGATTAAGCAGTTTCCCTTGTTAAACTAAAAAAAACCCCAACCATCCTAACAGGTATTTCAAGGAAAGACTAAATTATATTCTTTGGGGGAGGCAGGAAGCATCAGTTGGTGTTTGATAGGAGTGTGTGATACACCTGAGG